TTTTATTGTATATTTGTTTATCAATAGATGAACGTATGAAAATCAATAACCATCAACAACTACGCCTTTCATAGTTAACCGAATGAACGAATTATTTGAATATATTGATGGGAATATTTTTGATGTATTTTATTTCAATTCTTCAGTAAATGATTACGACGAAATACAAGAAGGTGACAATCTGAAAATTTATACAGATTTAATAACAATGGAAAACTCTGCTAATAATTCTTACAAACCATCTGATAATTTGAATAGTGGTGGAGTAATGCAATATACAATGAATTCCCCTGAACATACAGACAGTCCTAATACATCTAATGATTCTGAGTTATCTTCAAACGATAAAAATTCATCATCTTTAAACGAAAATAATGATGATACAGAATTTTTTAATCCTGAAGAATGGATTGTTCAAGATCTATCATCATGGAAAATTCGACCTCCAAAATTATACGAATTTCTTCGCTTACTTCTTAATAATCCACGCTATGTTTCTTATATATCTTGGATAAATAAAGATGAAGGTCTATTTAAAATTCATAAACCAGCAAAAGTTGTTCATCTTTGGAAAAAAGTTAAATTACGACGAACCTATGCATCAGTGGATTATGATAGTTTTTCACGTGCTATTCGATATTATTATAAATCCGGATTAATGATTAAAACAAATAGAAAACATATTCATCGTTTTGCTCAAAAATAAAAGTTTCGAACAGTTTTTCTTATTTCTTAAGCTGGTCGATTTTCCTATTGACTAATCGCTGAAACTACTAGTCCATAATTTTTTGTTCATTAGTTTATTTTATATGTCAATATATATTTTTTTTTCTAAATAGAATAAAAAATATTTAGTTGTATAGAAACTATTAGAAAAATTTTTCTCTGTTTAAAACTCTTTAATGCTTTCTTGTTTATAAAATCAATTATTGACAAGGCAAAACATTTTATAAGGAGAATATTTAATATAGTGTGCTAATCAACCATAACCAATTAGTTATATATTTTTTGCTAGATAATATCACAAGAAGCAAAAAAAAACAAAAAATCATACACGACACTATATTCGCGTGACGTAAAAGTCTAGATAGTTTTTAATTAATAAAAGCGATTGATTGAATACGTTGCTTAAGAAAGCAGACAAAATCATGGACTATCATTTTTTAGTAAAATAAAGGATATCGGTACTTTTTTCTTTTGTATATAAAATAAAAGACATATATAAGTCAATGAATGTATATGAGTGCATTTGTTTAATTGATTTCAGTTTAAGAAAAGAGTTATTTTAGTGTTGTTTTTGTTTTGAATAAGAATTTTCAGAACAAATGATTTAAAAATAAAACTATATGGCATTTAAATTTCATTCGACTACTAAATGCGATGTGAAGCTTCGAAGATCAATGTTCGGTGAAATCAATTTCTGATGACAAAATGAATAGTTGTTTCTACGATGAATTATGAAACGCATTTATTCAAAAGATGTTTATGTGTTACTAGAATCAGACTATTATCCTGTCAATGTAAATCAGAAAATTGACATTCCTATCAATTAGATCATTGTGGTCTCAATCAAAGTGAAAAGTATTCATTGTGAAATTCATTACTAAAAGATCTGTGTTCACAAGTCTTAACATATTTCGAATGAATATTACTATCGATTTATCCTTTGATTCTTTCTTTGATTCATTATGTAGCTTCAGCTGTTTTAGATATAATCAAAGAGAGTAGTGGCTACCTTTTGTTGTTGTTTTCGTTTTCATAATGTTGAAGTATGAGGGACAACTGAGTTTAAAAAAGCTTGTCTTTATAGATGACTTCCTGTAAGAAAATAAAATGTTTCCCTATTGAAGCTCATAAAATGGATAATTTCGATTCGATGATGAAATTTTATTCACATGCTTGAACAAATATTTTCTGACTTACACTTTATAACACCATTCCGGTACAAAAGGATGCCTTTTAAGGAGTACTTCGGGAAAGAAAGAAAGAAGAAAAAATCGCAAAGAATTACACGCATAAATGGTGTATTTTGAAACTAGGGATGCAAGTGATCTAGAACAGATTTGGAATTTTGGACCAAAGCCGTAGTATTTAAGTTTGAGGCATGGATTTACTTTTGGGCCAAATCCACATAAATAGTTTGCAATTTAACCAACGTTATCGAACTTCAAACTATTCATTTATTTTTATTCAAGAGCAAACCTAGACGAAAATAGCTAGGCTTTGGTTCCCAATCTCAAAATCTTTTTAATGGATGTGCTGCATCCATACTAAAGTGCAGTGTTGCTGATGAAACCTTATCTTATCGAATCTCAATACAAAGTACCAAATCGAAAGCAAATCTTATCTCAAATACAGATCAAAGAATATCAAATACTAAGACTTTGTATTTATTGCATTCCTAATCACATAGCATTAAATATCTCAATCAATTAAACATTTCGATTTCGAATTATTATATTTTAATAAAAACTCGGATTTATTATCAATTCTTCTCTTGTCCTTAATTTTCTTTGAGTTATATCTAAAGATTAGTTTTGGTTTTAAACTGACAATATTTAATTATACTATATTATTTTTATTATTTATAATAGAAAATATGTTTTTATATATTTCATTTACCATTTTCATAAGTAGAAAAATAAATAAAACATCTATTTATATCGATAGGTATATAGAATAAGATAAAATTCACAGATGTCAATGTTCACTTATGATTTCTGATCAGCATAAAAGTAAAGTATTCATGATCATTATTGAAAATAAGAGAACTCTTGCGTGGATTGTTTTAACGACATAATATGCAGATTCTCTCTATAGAGATAACAGGTGATGATTGATTCCATGTTTTTCTTTATCTTATGTAAACCGTTTATTACAATAATTCTTTGTTCTTATATAAAAAAAGGTAAAAAAAATCGATTAGTTTATTCATGAAATTTTTGATTTAAAACTCATTTTTCTTTGGAATAATTTCAAGTTAGATAATGTGCAATTTTCATGATCTCAATCTGTAATTTAATAAATAAATCTTATACCTTTGTTGTTTTTTAATTAGTAATGATACAACAAAGAAGAATGAAAAACATTTCAATCAACAGAATAAACTACTAATGGTTTTTATTGAAGAAGAAAACAAAAAAAAACCGCAACAATAATAAAAGAGTCAGAGCAAAACAATGAAAAGTGTATAAATAAGTTTTATCAATCAAAAAAATTGTTCCTAACCAATAAATATTTATGATTGACCACGATTTTCTTCTTTTTTCACTTTATAAATACGAACAAGCCAATGTTCAGTTGTATAAGCTTCTTCTAATTTTTCTAATTCAAAATTTTTATTACCAATTTCAACTGATCGTGTACGATCATAACCAGGTGGTTTATCTAAATTTTCAAATTAAATTAAATTAAAAGAAAAACATTAAGAAAAAAAATAATCTAAAATACCTTGTTCAGTATATGTTTCACCAAATCGATAATAAGATAATTTATACATTAAACAATTAAGTAATATTGGTGAACCATCTTTATCAACGCGAAATTCACCTTGTGGTGTAAAATAATCCTTTTCTTTAATATGAGCACCTTTTTCTGTTGAACCACCAATACGAACCATCCATAAAAATTTATTTATATCATCTGATGAATAACCAATTAAACCACCAAATATAACTAATACATAATCAACATCAAGTTCACGCATTATTTCATAAGCTTTATCTTCTGTTGATGACATGGCCTTAAAAAAATAAAAACAATCCATTTCAAAAATTCTTTCCTAATTGTAAATAATAATCAGATTGAATTTTATAATTGTCCTAAACTAGTTCATATATGGGCAAAATCATTGGTTAGCAATGTAATTTCATAAAATTAAAATACTTGTCTCTCGGGATAATGATCTTTTTCTTTTAGTAATTATCTCTTGATTAGTAGTCAACAAAAAGAACTAACAATTTTACATATATCTATGTTAAAAGAACTTATTTAACGAAATAATCCCTGTAAAGAATCAAAGTCAAATGAAAGATGGGTATGTCTCATTTTGTCTGTAAAGGTCCATATATATTTCAAAAAATGATTGAAAAAAATCTTCACAACAAATCTATAGATTGTAGATCATATGAATTTCATTTTCTTATGAAATTTTACCTGTCCAACTCTACTAATATGTGTATTATTCCATGTATTATTATCCACTAAAATTGTTCTATTAGCCATTGCTGTTATTTGATATCCGTAATCCCACCATGACATAACTTTTGCATCCTAGAAAATTCCAATATTATTATTATAAACACAAGATTTATGACAACTAACCTCATCTGTATTATATCTTAACCACCAATATGCTTCACGAAAATCATCAAATATATATTTTGATCCAGTACCAGTACGAGCTGATAAAACAATCGATGGTGATGAATAAGCTTCACTTGTAACCCATGTACAATGAAAAACATATGTAATTAAGAAAAATGACATTAAACAAACAACACCAAATGCAATTTCATTTTTTCGTGGATATGTTGATGAATCATCACCACGACGTGATCGTGATGAACTTTGACTTGATGCAGTACTACTAGTTGTTTTTTTTAATTGATTTACATCCAAATTACGCATATAAGTTGTTAAAATACTTGATATACCAATACCAGATAGAATACACATAACTGGTGCAAGAACTAACATTAAACGAACCATAACACCCTAAATCAAAAACAAAAAAAAACAAAGATACAATATTTAGAAAAGAAAAAAATTCTTTTGAAATATCTTACGGCAAAATAGATTGCTGTCATACCGTACATAATAATAAAGATATTTGCATCAGTTAATTCTTTAAAACAATAATAAATACCAACTAAAAAAATAAAAATTCCAAGTTTAAAAAAAAATAAAACAAGAGAACAATAATTCATTTCATATATACCTGGAAACATAAAAACAAGTAATTCAAAATCAAAAAAGAAACTTGACCAAGCTGTCGGTTGATGTTCACTAACACTAGCTATTATTGGAATATGATTTTTTGCATATGATGGATCTAATAAAGCATAAAATCGGCCAGTCCATGGTGCAATTTCTAAAGAAAAAATAAATAAATATTCAATTATAATATAGAATTTCTCTTATTAAGAACTATTCGAAAAATTGAAATGTAAAATGATCAATATAAAATATTGTTTCTATTTTTTAACATCTATCTATAAAATAATATTGATTATTTTCTTACTTCCACTAGCCCATAAAACTAATCCAGCAATCCCAAGACCAAAACCAACTGTCATAAGTGCAAATGAAAACAATGCATTAAATTGTGCTTCTGTCAATTTTGATTTCACATATTCAACAAATGAATATATTTGACATAAACCAAATGTACCAAATGCCTAAACAAAGATATCCATCAAACAAAAACAAAAACAATAAAATTATTATTTAATTGAAGTCTTACAAGCATATGTTCACTAGATTGTACCGGTTGAAAACCAACAAATGGTATTTGCATTGATAAAATTGTTCCCAAAATATACACCTTAAAAGATAGGATACAAAAAAACCGATTTCAATCTTAAAAATTCATAGAAAAGAAAAATAATAAAATATTTACAGTTGAATATGCCACATAAACTCTATGCGAAAAATGTCCCGTAACCATCAATGCTAGAACATGTAATGGCATTAAATTAATTAAAAAGACATAACCACCCCATGATGAAACCATATAAAAATAAGCTAATGCACATGATGCTGACCACATAATTGAGCCAGTTTTAATTGCTTTAATCCATAAATAATATGTTAATAACATACAAAATATTGCAATGCCTTCATTATCATATGAACCTGCAACTGAACGTGATATATAACCGGGTACAATTGATATAAGACATGCAGCAACAAGACCAGCACTTGCATTCTTAATAGTAAACAAAAAATAAAACAATAAATTTTCAAAGAATTGAATTAAATCAATTTCTTTTCTTTTTTTTTACCTTAAGCTCTTTTGTCAATAAATATGTTACAATAACAGTAAAACTTGAAAATAATGGTGCTAAAAAAACACATACATTACGAATATCAATTGTAATATGGAACCAACGTAATGTATGATAAATAGCAGCTGATGTAACCATTAACCCAGGATAAATTGTACCACCAATAATACGTCCTAATGGATACCATGCTCGATCATCAAACCAATTATGAAATGAATAAAAGCCTTCATCAGTTAAAAATTTTGTTGTACGATAATTAAAATATGGATCAAATTCATGAATAACTGATTCATAACGTAAAACAGAAAATAAACGTGTAGCAAAAGCTAATATACCAGCAAAAGTTAAGATAAATAATTTTAAAAATGTTTCTTGTTTATCATAAGATAATTTGTGTGGTAAATATTGTTTGAATGGGAGAATAGATGTTAATGCATCCATTTCTATAAGAAAAAAAAGAATATAAATAATAAAAATATTCTTCTTCGTTTTATATCAATAAATGTCTCATATGCATTTATTGTAAACGTTTAATACAAAGTAAAAAAAGAAACAAGTAGCTACAGATATTGCTTTGCTTTCTCTATATTTTCATTCGTTCCTTCGTTTGAAAACGTGGACAACAGCAAAAAGAGGCAAATAGGCATCAGATGGAGATTAGATGTAGTGACGTGTGCATTATACAGATTGTGTCTCCCTCTATTTGAATAATTTATCAACAATTATATTTTATTTAAAATTATTTTTAAAATGAATCTTATTTTTTTAGATTTAATTTCTAAAACTAAATTTGAATAGAGTCTCTTACGGCACATGGATTATATTATAGCAATGATAATGGCCGAAGAAAGTACATTAAATAAATAATTAAGATCAATGGAAGCTATTCTAAATACTTTATTGTTCAATGAAATAAATAAATTAGGAAAAATATCATCAGATTATGCTGATAGATTGATCACTCATATAGATGCAGCCGGTTTAATAATAGTTGAAATAGACCATTTATGGAATCGATTTTGTCAAATAAATCGTTCTAATCATGAATTAGAATTATTTCTAAATAATAATATATATTACTGAATGAATTGTCAAATTCGAGTTTAAAAAGAAAATAAAACCTTCCTTTCATTATCATCTATCATAGTCGATAAGATAGAAGAAATTAGTTCAAATTCATGAAGTCAACTTCTGTGTATATTCATTGACTTTTTGATTGAAACTGTCGAGATAATGTATTTATTATTTTACAATAGAACTTTTCGAAGTAGCTCATAATTTTTGAACGCATATTTTGCCTATATGGAAAAGATCATCAGATTAGACTAATCCCAACGAAGATTTGTATCCATAAACCTTAAATAATGAGTTACGGATAGTTTTACAAGATTTTTATTTTAGGATGAGGATATTGACAAGAAATCTCAAGGAAGTTTTTTTTTGACCTGAAATTTTATTGATAAGGAAACCTCATGATGCTAAAAATACTGTAAAAATTTCAGTCAAAACAATCCTGTGATGCTATGATGTGATGTAGCTGATAACCAAACTAAATTAGCAGCTTTATTTTGATATCTCGATAATGGTGAACCTATTACCGTTCCAATGATAAGTAAACTATTAAAATATATTTATCCTAAAGTTAGACATGTATGTAATTGATTCAATAAACAAAAACACGAAATTCAAGATTTTTGTTTTTTAACTTAAATAAATATAGGTTGAAATTCAGGCATTATCAATAATATTTATGAGACAATTAGGATCAACTGACCGAGATACAATTCTACTAATAACAAAAAAAATAACATGAATAATATTTAAAAAAGTCAATTAAATCAACAACAATTTGCACCATGTGTTCAAAGATTTATACTATCCGACAAGCTTGAAGAATTTTTTCTTTTTAATAGAATTCTATTCCATTCACTTGATGAAGCTAACAGATAACCATCGCTGCAATCATAAACAACAAATATACGTAACACAAATGAGTTTACTATATATCATCTGATTAGTAATGATGAATTGAAGTATATACCAAATTAAGTTTCATGAAAAAAAATTAGGTCAAAATTAGCATATATATTGGATTTTCTTGAATATGATATTGAAGCATATCAAGTAAAAAATTATGATGATACAACAGCAACAGTAGACATTTATTTTTTCCTCTTTTTTTTAAGAATAATAATCACGAATAATACTTAGATTTATAAATAAATTCAAATTTAGCACGAACAAGACGGTTTATTAGCTATAAAAAGTCAACTTAAACACTGTTTAAGGCAAAGTAAACTTCATAAACTTGTTTCGATTCTTAATTAATTTATATTATTTATTTTTATAAAAATCACTTCTTTTTTTGAATAAATTCATAAATCACTGATTATGGTTCTTTTCTATGCATTCAACAAAGTTGTCTAAAATCTCATGCACAGGAGATTCTTAAGATCACTTGTTGCAACATAAATTAAAAAAACTATGAAAGAAGTAAGTTTTATGCTGTGCTAAATTAGTTTTTTTCTAAATAATATTAAAAAAATTTTCAATAATACGAATATAGATAAAAAAAAAAGACAGTCATATTATCTGTTCTTAACGAAAACTGTTCATTTCACCAAACTGACGATGCTTTTCATCGAGTAATATCTATTAAGGCTCATAAAGTTGTACTTATTGAACAAATACAGTTGATTCTTCAATTGATTCAACAATCAACATATATGGTCTTCCAGGAGCTAATGGTGGTTGCACAAACGATCGCTCAAGAAAACGTGTATTATTAGAAGTTGTTGTTCCTGATGTTCTTTCAATCGGTAGAGCAGAATTCGACAGACTTCGCGAGACTGTCATATCTATTAAGGATTTCGAACTTCGTTGCATTGATATTGGTTCTTCTTGTACAGTGCGAGGTCTGAATGTGGCACGTCCCTCATTCTCTGGTCTTGAAATATGTATTTCAGAGAGATGAGCAGGTACAAGACCAACTAAACCATCCATTTTTATCAGAAATTCTGCATAAACGGCCATCGGGAAGGTTAACCCTTTGAAGCGAATACGTAGTTCTTCATTTAATTGATTGTAAAGGCGACTAGGCTTTTCTTGACACATTCGAAAAAGTCGAATGAAAGTTTTACCTGACATTGATTCACATAATGGCATCATGGCATAAAGACTTGAATCGAATAGAAAGTCAAGCACATCACTGCTTTTCCATAAATTAATCGGGACAGTACGGTATGTCGAATTAATCGTTTTACGATTTGTATATTCTTCGGGTAACCGTGGTGGTACCTGAAAACTGTGTGGGTGTGGGTGTGCTCTTGAGCTTAAAAGTGGTGTCTTTCCTTCTTGTTTTTCCCTGCTAATTGTTGTACCAGAGGAGCCAGACGTAGGTACTTGTGATCGTGAAGCATGATGCACTGAGCTCTCCTGTTGTTGTTTCTCGGTGGTCACAGATGAGGCAGAAGTAATGGTGTTCTTTGTTGACGGTTGTCGGACAATATGCATTGGCCTTACTTGTTGCGGTTGCTTGACAACAGTAGATGTGGTAGGAAGTATAGCGTCGGTCATCGTTTGTGGTCGTGAAATAGAACACACTGTTACTTCTTGTTGTGGCTGTTTGTTGGCATTGAACGATTTGTCAAAAGATGCAGACCTAGCAGTTGTACAATGTGAAACAAGAGGCATTTGTGTTAGCTGTGGTTTTTGATCAAGGAGAGCAGATGCAGCAGACGAAAATGAGCCAGATTTTTTTAATTGTGAAACAGGATGAACTTGTGTTTTCTGTTGTGATTTAGCA